GAACTTTTAATTAACTGTGGTCTCAGCTCTGAGTCTCAGTCTATTGGTGGCACAAAAACTCCCAGTTGCAAACAAGTGGATTAAACTGAATCCCACTTCATTTACAGACTGTCGGCCAACACAGAGGCTCATTCTGCACACTGGTGCATTTCTGTATGGCAGCAGAGCCATGGAGTGACGAGGCAGAGCGTCTCTTTAGCAGGAAGCTGAAGTGCCCTTAAGCAAGATACTAGATCCCTGTGTTATAACAGACCTATGTCCTACGTCCACCTGCAGCGGGACAGACACAAAAAAAAAAAAAAGAAAAAAAAGAAGAGAAAGAGAAGAAAATTTCCCTCAAGGATAAAAAAAAGATTTACATTCCATTATTATTTCATTAAGTGTTGTAGCTCCACGTGGATTTAAAATCATCGCCACTTTTTTTTTTTAAAGAGTTTGTATGTTTTCCTAAATCCACAGGGATGAATATGAGTTTACAGTTGAGCACAAGGTCTGTGTAGATCAGGGAGCCTCTCATCTCTTTACACAAGGTAAACTCAGCTAATAATACATCACAGACTTTTGATCTGACTTTGTCTGCAGCAAGTAGTTGATTAATGGATTATTTTTTGAAGTTCATCATTAGTTATTTATCAAAAAAAATGGTAACGAGTGAGGATTCTCTGCTTTTCTCTGTTCATTATTATCATCACATATTTATTATAATGAACATTTAAAATAAGCAACATGAAGAAATCAGTGCTGCTTCTTTGATGAAATTATGATGGGCATTTTTTTGAATCTATCAATAAGAACTGGATTCATTGAAAAAGTAACAGCTGATCTGACAGTATATGACAGATACTGTCCGTCTAGACAGAAGCAGTTCAGCAGTTTAGGAACACTGTGGCAGATGCAATGTGGTGCATCAGGTCATTAAACTATCAGAGTTGAGTGTGTGATCGTGTGTGTGCGTCTCATTTTCCGCTGTAACCTGCGGATGTTTCTGTCCTTTTTCATTGAGCTGAGTTTGACAGGAACCTTCATCACAACAGCTGGAGATGAGTTTGAACAGAGGTAGAGACAGATGACTGGGAGTCTGTTTGTTTCCTTTAAGAGAAATAGTTCTCATGTAATCATCAGCTATTATTCTTCAGGATTCTTACAGACAAAACAAAAACACACACACTCTCTCTCTCGCTCTCTCTCTCTCTCGCTCTCTCTCGCACACACACGCACACAAAAAGGGAGTCTCTCAGAGTGCAGAAGCTATTAGCAATCAGAGGCAGGTCTGCTGCAGCCTCACTTAAGACACTCTGGGCCTTTCAATGCGGGAATGATTATGTTCTGAACAAGTTGTTCTGCAGAAACAGAAAACACTGCAGGAAAAAAGAAAAAAAAATACTGATGGATATTCACAACTGGAGACCACCACAGTCCTTTCATCTTTTCAGATCAGTCAGTGTTGGGGAGTTGTTCCAAACAGGAGTTTTCAAGGTGTAGATCAGAGGAGAAAGCTTTTAGAGGTTGTTCAATTGCTGTAAATGGCACAAATCCAATTTATAGCCATAGCTTTGTGTCCTCCGCTGCGTTAGCTTGGCAACAGTAACAGTAATTTATTCTGCAAACTTCCCTTTCAGTTAACACATCACCATGTAGTCTACTTCCTTATACTACAAACATAAAACCTCTCAACTGACTTTGCCTCTTCAAATCCCATGTCTCTGCTTTGACTGTAACTGACAATTCTTCTTCTCTTTATGAATGGCAGTCCCTGAAGGCCAACAGCCCCCCTCCCCCGGGGTTTACCTGCTCCTCCGGCTCTCTGCCTGTGTCCTCCAGCACCTGGACCTGGTGGTTTAGCGGTAGCCTGGAGAGAGGAAGGGTCCGCTGGGCTTTCACATGCACCACATCCTGCTTCCCCGTCTGTTATGTGTTCATATAATTAGAGTGTGCTGCTGGATGCGCAGCTAGGAGCCCACTGAGAAATGTGAAATGGAGAACCTGGGGCCTGGGAAACCAGCCAGCCCTTCCAGTAATATCACCCCCTCCTCCACCACCACCATCACTGATACCCAGCCCTGCCTGTACTTGGCTGTGATGTCATCGCTATACCCGCCCTCCACACAGTGGTCATCACAGTTTGGCACGATGGAAGAAGAGACAAGCCTCTTCCTTCCCCCCTCTTTCTCTTTCTCTTTCTCTCTCTCTCTCTCTCTCTCTCTCACTCACACTTTTGCTTTCACGTTCCTATTTGTCCTCTTTATCTCATCACTGGGCTCTAACAATATGCTGATTCAACAGATCAGAGTCATAACGAAAACACAATATCTGTGCAGCTGAAGCTGCCGTCAACAAACACCATGGAAACAAAATATGGCAAGATATGACCCGCTTATTTTTATCAGGACAGAGAATATTCACTGAATAGACTCACATCTTATCACATCATCCAAAGAAGTCTTTACCTCGTCCTCATCACTTAATCATTTGGCCTATAACCTGTGACTATGGACTGTAATATATTAAAACTGCTTATTCTGACGGATATTCAAGATATGCAGATAATATATTGCATTTCCTGTCATTGATGACTAAGAAAAACAGAAAATATCTGGATTTAAAAAGCTAGATCCACCAATTTTTTCAGTATATTTACTCAGAAAGAGACTTAAAAGATTAATCAATTATCAATTATTTTTTTCCAATCAGCTAATGAAATAATCTACTTATTGGTTCAGCTCTATACTTGTGCAACAAAAACATGCACATGCAGTTGTAAAAAAAGACAAAAAGCAATTAATAGCAAAATACAACTCACAGTGAATGTGTCATCAAACTAAATAAAAAGCCAAAGCAAAGCACTCGCCTGAATAACATATCAGATCATTCCTTAAAAAAACGCCTTTTGAACCCTGCAGTCCTACCAGCAGATCGGTATGCTGTGCAGCTACTGTTTAAGCCCACAGTGGATGCAGAGATCACAGAGAATCCGAAGATACTAAATGTGAGGCTGAAGTTTGGGGGAATGTGTCTAAAATGATGCACAAAACATCTCGAATATATGTCAGTTTGTGCAGCCATGACGAACATGTTTTGGTTTGAATATTTCCGTCGATGTGAACATCATATAGCTGCAATGAAAACCTGAAACAAGCTGATTTAGGCTAATATATATGTATATGCACATTACTGTCACAGAATGCTGAATAAGATCATTTTCAACAGTCAAAAATTGAAGCGGCTGAAGGATAATTCCTGGAAGGATAAATCCTGTATTTTTTGACCTGGGTCTATTATCATAATTGTCAGTCAGCCAGTAAGTTGCCCTGGAAGTCAATCCCTATGCAGTCAGCTACAATAGTTAATCCAGGGAGGCTGCATTCTATGTTTACATTTAGTTGAGTGTTTGAAATGATTTATGTAAAACTGTAGTGCATCTGGAAAGCTGTGGAACTCTATAGGCCATATTCATCTTTATACAGTAGAGGTGGAAAGTGCAACGTTAGCACGACCCTTCAATCAGAACGGACACAACTATGGAGAGTAAGACCTATAGGTTGAAAAATGATTTTCCAATGGTTCTGATTTCAGCACCTCGGTCAGCTCCATGACAGAAAGGAGGTGCTATAAGCACAACATGTAGGAGGCTGTCGACTGGAAAACCAGAACCAAACACAAACTAACACCTACACACTCATTCAAAATTACAACATGATTTAAAAAGACAACATTTTAATCACAATTTGAATCTATGACAATGAAAATGAAAAACTGGAAAAGAGGATTTTCACCTGTCAAAGCTGCCTGGTCGAATATATTTGTGGTTCTCAGTCACAGTGTCAGCTGTTAACATTTCTTAGACAAAATAAACTAGAAACAAACCCTAGTTCCTGTGATTCTCTGTAGCAAAAGAGACGCATACGAGAGAATCACAGCATTTGGTTGTCTGGTCCAAACCAACTGCTGCAAAGACTACAACGCTGGACGTGAGGATTCATGCAATTCAATTAATGTGTTTTGAAAAGGGCAGGAGGGCATTATGAAACCAAGGTAACCACTGCAAGAAAGGCTGCAGAGACCCGGTTAAGTGTATTTGGAGGATATCAAGTGGAAGACACATTAGGTTTCTCTATTATGGCACACTGAGCACTGCATGGCAATTTCAAAAACAATCCAAAAACCTGCCAGCGTCCTCACTGCGATGTCTGTGTAACTCCTGAAAATGCTCTGCCACTGTATAATCCTTTTTTATTTTTTTATCCACAAGATGGGAAAGCCACAGACTGCTGCACCTTTCAGTTGCCATAGAAACCACCTGAATGACAGGCCAGCAGCTGCTTATGCTGCATAATAATAAAAAAAAAACAAAAAAAAAACAGGCATTTGGTTTCCAGTGATTTCTGATTATTTCACCATGATGTGAGAAACAATGAGGCAATCTGCCTCCGACCATTGTTTCCCATAATCCTTTTCTTTACCAGCATTAATGGGATAACTCCTACACCAGTTAGAGGAAGTCTCATGCTTCCCTCTGCTCCCACAATTCCTCTCTTCACCTTTCCTTTCTGCCTCTCACCTCTATACATACTGTACCTTTAAACTGCTCAGCTGAGAGAGGAACAGATGTTACTGTGTGTCCATGCACTTTAAAAATGGGTTATTATTAATTTACACATCTGAATCATGATCTTCCCTCCTGTGCTTATTCATCCAAAATCAAACACACACACACACACACACACACACACACACACACACACACACACACACACACACACACACACACACACACACACACACACACAGCACTATCAGCTGCAGATGAGGAAGATTACATCATTTCTGTATAGTGTAGCCGTGTATACTGCTGGGTTTGTAGAATGAAGTGAACAATGACATTATGTTTAGATGTTTATCAGCAGCCAATAGTGTTGATGCGAGCACTGTAACCAGTAGAACCACATGACGGCGCATGAACAGCGTTATTCTGGGGTGTCAGCGGCGGAATGTCGGCTCACCTGGGCTGAAATGAGAGCTGAGGGCAGAGCCGCGGCTGAAAACGGCTGAAGACATCGTCACCAGAAGCACCAACATCTTCAGAACCGGTGCTGCTGCGAAACCGAAAGAGAAAGTGCAGGGGACTGGGGGGGGGGGCAGCGATCTAAGCGGCACTATTTCTCGAACACAGCTTCTTTTCTCCTTTTTTGCGCGAACCGGCCCCTGGTGATGCCTCAGCGCGCGCCTTCATTTTTTTTCTCTCTCCTTGTTCTGAAGACAGATGCTGACTGACACTCCTCCTCCGGCAGCAGAGAGAGTCAGCGCAGGCCGAAGCCGGTTTTTACCTTTTTATTTCCCTCCTCAACTACAAGATCTACTAGACTGTCGCTGCAGAAGAAAAAGAGGAGGAAGAAGAGGAGGAGGAGGGCGACAAAGTCCTCTTTAATAACAGCCAAGTTGATCCAGGATTGAATTTCCCCTTCACGCGCCACCTGGACGGAGTCACATCATCTCGAAGCGCTCATCACACACGTGACACCTCCAAGAATAAATAAAAAAAAAAACAAATCAGAGGCTGAGATTTATATCGGAGCTGCTGGGAGCTGTCCGAGGTGCTGACAGCAAGAGCGCCATCTTGCTCGGTAATGAGCCCAAATAGAATTTATGGAGCGTTTTTGCGCTCTGGCTGCAGGAGGGGGGAGGGGGAGGGGGTGCTTATAGGAGGCTCTCGATAGGCTACTGTGCTGCTCGAGCGTGTTCAGCTGACTGAGATGTACAGTACAGAGCTGGAGAGGCTGGAAGGATGTGGAGCAAGAGTCTATTTTTGCAGCTAAATAACACAACTTTCTACTTCTAACGTGCAGGTTGGAGGATGGAGCTGGAGCCTGCAGAGCAAATCTTTCTGTCATCAATCTCCCTGCGTGTGTGTGTGTGTGTGTCTGTGCGTGCGTGCGTGTGTGTGTGTGTGTGTGTGTGTGTTTGGAGCTTGTGGGAGCAGAGCCTGCAGCTTTCTCCTCCTCAGCCTTAGCTCCCTCAGTTAGATAAGAAGAGACGTACAGAAAAATCTCCCATGAACAGACTGTGATGTAACACCAGGGAAAGACACACAGTGGGTACTTGGCTCTTCGGACTATCCCCACTCTAATCCTACTGTTCATACATGTTGGATGAGGCCCCCTCCCCCACCCGACAACATTCATCCTCTCCCAATCCCCACCCCCCCCATCAGATTGGATTCCTGGCAGTAGAGGGAGTCAACTTTTCGTTGCGCATCTTACAGGCTCACTATGATTCTGATTAACACAGAGACAGAAATGTCACAGACTGAGCTGCAACTAACAGAGAAGACCTGTCTGATCCAGGCTCTGTCAGATTCTCCATTGTTCTCATTGTGCACCCTGCATTTTGAGGCATGGAGGATATATAATGTGTCATTTATTATTAATAGACATATAGTCTCAGTGATTTTATGTATGTGAACAAAGTGCTCTGCCAGCTTCTCTTATAAAGCAACTGCCAAGAGAAAATACAGAGAAGTGAAGTAAAGATACAATGTGCAAATTAAAAAAAAAACAACTGATAAATCATGAAAGAAATTCATCTTTGAAAATGTGCAATCAAAAATGCCCCCTCTCCATTTATACACTGCAATCAGCTGACTGTGCAACTAATCTGATTACCCCACAACCTTCTGTTGTCAGGGGCCGTTTTTGTTCCAGACCAAATGTCTAAATTCTGACCCTGTTGTGTTCTTGGCTGGATGTGGACGGGCTAAACTAATTACATTGTTCCTTTTCAGCTTTCTGTTTCAGTGCCAAAATAACATACCTCCATCTCTCCTCCTCCAGAGTCCATCAGAGCAGCTCCAGAGTGTGAACCAGCTTCAGGTCCAGGTCCAGGTCACATCCATCCAGCTCTTCAGCTGAAGGCCGAGCCGCAGGCTGGCGTGTCTACAATCACAAAAAAGTAGATTCACCACCATCAGCGTTTTCTATTGGTGCCTCCATGGAGAGATATTCCTATATGAGTTTCCAGCCATTCATTAACTACTTTTGCTTATTGTGCAAAAAATCATTCGCAGGGGACGACAGGAGGGGCAGACTACATCCAGGACATGTTGCCAGTCTTTCACTGTGCTGATGCCTTTAGACTGAAAACCATTCCCCACAAGCTTCTTTGCACTATGAGGAAAAGGAACCTGTGTAAACATGCAAACTCCTCACAAAAAGAGCCCCGATCTGGGTGCACATCCTCTGGACCTTGTTGCTGTGAGGTGGTTGGTGCCGCAACAGTGTCACCCGTTACACCACCACCCTGTTTCATGGGTTTGCCAACCAGTAGAAATAGAGACTTTCAAAGAAATAATAGATGCACACCAAACCTTAAACTGAAAAAGGTACATTCACACAGAAGGGTGAGAAAATAAAGGAGAGCAACAAGAACATAGTGTCAACTGAGACATTTTATGTTGACTTCAGAACAGCTTCAGTGCTCTTAACTCTCTTACAACTCTTAAGTCTAACACAGTCTCCAAACCTCCCACAGGTGTCCAGAAGTGATCTTTATACTATAGAAGCCTTTCTATTATTTTTGGTTCTATTACACTCATGTCAATGATAGTCTGTAAGCTGGAGCTGAACTGTGGATTTATTTATAAATGAATCTTCAGTCGACATGGAGGAGGAGGTTATTATCAGCTGACTGAAGAGGGTATCTGCAGCAGAATAGACCGGGTCCTTTCCAGCCAATAGAAATGGAGGAACACAGGACTGTAACCATTACACAAAGTTAAATCTGAAACCTCATCGCCCTCCTATAGACCACTAAATGTAATTGTTCTCTCCTCTCTCTGTAAAGACAGTGAAAGCAGAGGAATGAGACGAGAGGATGATGTATGTCTTGTCATCTGTGAACTTGATTCCATTTCAGACCCGTCTACTCTCTAATGGAGTCACAGTTTGATGAATAAGAGCTCAGAGGAGGAAGATGTGGAAGGACACAGTTTAGATTTTACAAGTGTCTATTTCTGGACATTTGATTTCTCTGGCAGGAATCTTCCTCCTAAATCTTTTCACTCCTGCACCTCCTCCTCCTCCTCTTGTTTCGCTGTCTCATCACGTCATATTCGACTGTCTGATACACTGTGTTGCATGTCTGCTGTTTCCCTGGAAACAGAAAGCAGAGGATAAGATGGAATTCTGGGTCGCGCTTTCCAGTCACTTCACATCTTACATCAGATGTGATGAGCAGTAGGTTAACCACAGTATATCACTGTACTTTTGTGCTTACATATACACACACACACACACACACACACACATATATATATATATATATATATATATGCATATTTATAAGCACACGTTTTCTCCATTTTGTGGCGAGGAAAGCAAAAGTGGAATTAAACAGCCGCCTACCCCCACCCTTTACACCCCATCCATCTCCATCTTCACCCCACAATTCAGAGCGGTCCTCGGTGGGTGATGAGGGAGGATAGCAGGATCCAGGCCTGGCTTTAACAGCTCCCCCTGGGGCCCGGGTCACTCCACACCCGGGCAGCTGTGAATGCTGAGTTACACTTCTCTGGTTTCACTGTGGGGCTCATGAAGAAACCGCCAGGCCTCAGGAGCTTGTAACTCTAATGTTTTAAAGTCAGTCTGAAATTGGCTTTTAGTCTGTTTAGACTGAGAGCATTTCACGATTCCTTGAGTTTGTGAAAACCTGTCAGAACACTGCTGGATAAACTTAAAACTGCTTTGTGGTCGATCTGAAAACAATACTGCGTTTAATGGCTGCTGAGAAGCTGACATCTGGGACACAGTTCACAGGCTCTACAGCCTTTGCTGTTGCCAGGAAGTTGATTGTATGTTGAGTGTATATGGAAAGATTGTGTCGCTGCAGAATCAATGCTTAAAATAGCGAAACTTGACTAATATTGGTTTGAGCATCCATGTCCTCAAGGTTGACAGAAAGCATCTAATTCAAAAATATCAGTCAAAACTCAACACAGTCACAATGCACGATTCACAATGGTGTAAATGTGTGTTTTCCTTTAATTGTCATTTGGATTATTTGCTGGTGCACTAAAAGACTTCACCGTGTTTTTACGTACTGGACTTTAAATATCATTTATATTCTATTTTTATCAGCAAATAAAATGAATCAAATACTAACAGTATAATCATCATGAAAAGCATCAGTGACAGTAGCAGCATGGATATGCAGAGCCTTGAAATCGGTGCTTTCTGACACAATGAGACAGTAGTATGAAGTATAAAAACACATCTACAGAGAATAAAACCTAAGACTGGTTCAAACTGCTCATTGAAGACTCTCCCTCCTGTCTGGGCAAATAATTAGAGGACGAGCAGGGAGAGTAATTATCTAAATGTTTGTTTGTGCTTCTGTAGGGGTGTTGGAGTTAAATCTGAGTCCTGCAGCAGAAACTAAGTCCACAGGGAAAACAAAGCGGTGAAGTCACATACAGTCAGCGACTCTGCAGGGAGACAGATAATGTCCCAGCCGTTTAAAATGAGTCTGCCTGACGACGGCCCGGTTATGTTGCTTCTGGAAACAGCAGATTGTTAATTTGTTGAATTATATTTGAAAAACTAATTTTGCTTGTTTACAAGCTGAGGCTGCTGCTGGCTGCCCCCAGAGTCTGTTTCTGGATCCAACACAGGAATTAAACAGCTCTGTCCTCAGTTTCTTTAGGAATGAACAAGAGGAAGGTTTGGTTTGGTCTGGAACTTCACAAACACAAGGTCTTCTGATTCTGCCCATTTTAGTTATTCACTACAAATGACATGCACTTAATATTTCTGTTAACCATTTTACAGATCATGCATTTGTGATTTGCTTTTTCTCACCTTCCAGCTACGGGCCTCCATTCAATCCATACATCCAAAATAAATCAAAATCAGTCAGTGTCACCTGTCATGAAAACTTCCTGGAAGGTTGGAAAGGTGAATCCTGCACAGATTGGTGTTCACATAAAATCTAACCAATCAGAGATGTTCCAGAGGTCCCGCCCCTCTGCCCCTTCTATCAAATCAAACAGCCTCATCTAATGATAT